GAGGAAGCTTTCAGCTGGCGGGCTGCCTCCAAAGGGTCTCCCAAAGGTTACAGGAGAACCAGCCTGTGAACCTGTAGGCTTGAATTTGCCTATGCTGGCATCCTTACCTCGCCGGGAAACCTCCGGTGGCATCTCAAAACAGAAGGCGATCGGAAAACATTTTTCTAAGGGAACTTCGCCACTTCTCCTAGTCACAGTTTCAAGCTGTGGTTGAAAGCAAGTCCTTTTTGAGCCTTTTTACAGGAGGAAACTAAGGGAAGGCTGGCATTGCCGGATCTCTTGGGAACGAGGAAGCTGTACGTTATTTCCTGGTCAGCAGGACTGTTGATCCCGGGCTCCTGTGGTTGCCTGTCCTTTGTCGCCTGGCCCCTTCTTTCCTTTCTATCTCCTGACACAGCCGGGGGGCGCAGGCGGGGAGTTTGTTGCGCTGGGAGTAGTTTGAGGTAGCAGGGCTTGCTGCCGCTTCGACAGTGGTTCTGTCTTTGTTGTTTCCTAAGTGAGGATATCACTTTGGGTGTCCTCCCTACCTGAATTAATTCATGACACTTGTAGGTATTTGGTTGTCGCTGGAACTCTTATGGTCTCCAAGCTTTTTTTTTTTTGGATGGATTTTAAAAAAGGTGGTTGGGAGGAAGAAGCTAACAGGCAGCATGGTTGTAGGGTTTCCATGAGAAACTAAGGAGCACGCAAAAATGTTAATTGTTGCATTCAAATATGTGCAGTAAAATATTTATTTCTATTTAGATGGACGTCTTTGAAACTTTGCATTAATATGAAGGTCCTGTGCAGGAAGTCTCTCCTCCAGCCCCTCAAATCACTTCTCATCTCTTGTTGCAGGCACTTTAAAAAATATTCTGAATTCCTCTCTGTTCTACCAAAGAGAATATTATACACAGCTTTATAATATTTGAGATAATATTAATGACACTCAAATAGGATTAAAACTTGGAATACGTTGATTTTCTGCACAGATAGTATTTGTTACTTCTTGTCCAAATTGCTTCTATTGCCAAGGGAAAAGTAGATCGTGACTTATTTTTATAAATACACAAGGTTGGTTATAAAGGAGTAACTTTGTTTTATGGGAGTGTGTTATTGTAGATTTCTTACTTTGTACATCTGCTTAATTTCTAGGTGCTAAAAGTAGGTAACCATCCATACCAAATACCTGGAACTTTGAAAATTTTACTGTCCTAACGCTGCATAACGTAATATTGTTATGCTAATGCTGCATCAGTGAATAAATTGGAATACAGTTTACAAGATGCCAGCTGTTGAAGATCTGCACAGTGACCAAAACTTCATTCCACAATGGATGTCTGATAGTTCCCGTGCTGGAGTCTTATTAGATCCTAGTTTTACCGGTTTAAAAATCAACAAAGGAAATTTGTTGCCTGGACCTGAAAACATCATGGCTTTCCCTGTCAGAGCGTTGTGTCCTTCAGACAGCTGTTCTGTGAGTGACGACTCCTTGTGTGAAGAGTCTGGCAGCCCTTGTGCGCCTCGGCAGTGTGCCACGGAAACTTCTTTTCCAGCAGCAGCATGTAACACAGAAACCTCTAAAGCAGGCTTTGTCCGTGGTGAGGTGGAGGGTCAGACTAAATCCGATCACAGTGATCCACTCTTACAGAAACTTGAACAGGTAAAAGTCCTAGAACTCCTTGGTGTACATCTGTTAAGATTTATTTTGTTCCAGCATGTGATTTGTTGTACTTGAAGCAAACTCTTTGCAAGGTATAGAGCACAGCAAGCTTAAAGAGCAAGTCCTAAGTCACGCTTAGGCGTGCATAAAGGTTGGTGTCTTCCTCATGATGTGCAGTTATTGTCCCTAATTTCTGTTATTTGTAGCTGGCACAGGTTGCAGTTTAAAGTAAAATTCATTCAGTGGCAGTGTACTTGCTCTCAAAATCTTTTTATCTGTAATGGTGACTACAGTTTTACAGGGTTCCATTGTTTCTTCACTTGAAGCTATGGCAATGGGGTGCTGGTGGTTATTTCACCATAGATACTTGCAACACGGTGAAGTTATATGTTCTTGTATCTATGGCAACATCTTATGTAAGTTCCTGAAGTAGGTGTGTGCATCTATATACAGGGTTCTGCTTAGATGAAGAGAGACATTAGTGTTGACTGAGATGAATCATCCAAGACACTGGGACAAAGAAGCCTGGAATTACAATGCTTTGATGTTACTAATTGTTTTTTCCAATGCAAGTATATCATTTAATCCACTGTAACCTATACGTTTTCTCACAGCTCTTCCTGATTACTAGATATAACTTGCATTAGCTGAAAGTGCTCGGCAGTACTTTAATGGATATTGTTCTTAATCCTTAAGAACTCACTCAGCTCCTTGTCTACTCTACTGGCAGCTGCCTCAGCACAAATCTAAGTGAAGAGAGGCTGGGGGTGTGTGTGGTTCTAGAGTAAAACTGCACAACATACCTGGTACTAGAAAAGTTTTCTGCTGTATTTTACATGATAGTAGAATATTTATTCACCTTTTCAGTATTGTCATCAGTATCAAATAGTGGCTAAATGACAGATATTAGCTGGTTTAATGGTAGCTTAAGAGGAATTATTAAGTCTACTGTCTTAAAGTTACTGGCACTCTATTACAAAAAAAATCTGATGCTTGTAGTGGTGAATGTGGATTTGGATGTATAAGTTTTTTTTCAGTTTGATTTTTCTGAGGATATTATCACAACAGGTGGAAGTATTGGTTTCTTTAATAAATTAAAGGGGTTGAGACTTGGGTGATCTTTAGATCTTGATCATTAGTGCCTTCTGTTTTCTCTGGAATTTTAAGAGGCTACAAGGGAAATTCAAGGGAACTTTTTCTTGCCTGTCGGATGACAGATGTGGTCCAATTGTTGAAGGATTTCATGAGGCCTCCTCTCTTTCCTTTGGAGGCACTGGAACTAGCACATGCGTATGTGTTGGAGAGGCAGAGATGGTCACGGAGGCCCACCACCCATTGCTGGGGCTGGGTAGTGTACAGAATGCCCTGCCCTTGTATGGCTCTTGGGGCAGAGCCAGAGACTCCTGCCACACAAGAAAATGAAGACTGGATTACTGAATTTAATTTTTTTACTTTTTCAGGCAGCTTCATGGATCTTAATGTTCTCCAGTGTTCTCTTTTCTTCTGTGGTCCTTTGTATTAGTAATGTTCACTGTAACTAAGGTCTTGGAGAGAAGGGAGCGGAGGGGCGAACCCAAACCAACCCACTTTTCCAGAAGCTTTAATTATTATGAAGTAATTCACATTTTAATAAAAGCACAACATAGTAGAAGTTCCTGTTAAAAGAGCAGAATTTGAATATTTTTCCCGTGCTGTAGAAATAAGTATAGTGATTCTTTGCAGATTGGTCAATTAAAGACTAGTAGAACTGTTAACTGGGCAAACTGGAAATACCATGTGTGTTCATAGGTGGGCAAACTGGAAATACCATGTGTGTTCATAGGTGGGAAAATTCTTAATTTCCTTCACATTACACTTACCTAATGGAACAGCTTTAAAACAACAAATACCCTTTGTCTTGGTGACATTTACCCTGTGGTACATTCTCAGTAAACCTAGCCTCTAATACCTTTTTTTTTTTTTTTTTTTTTTTGTCTGAAAAGCTGAAGGAATTGCAACAACAGAAACAGGAACAGCTAAAGAAACAACAGATGGAGCAACTTCAAAGGCTGATGGAAGAGCAACAGAAGCTACTTAGCATGGTGTCTGGCCAGACAGCAGTTCTTGGTAAGTTGAGAAAGCAAGCAGGTGACATACTTCGAGTAAATGAAAAAATTTAATCTCATTTCCCAGTTAAAATCTGAAAGTGTGTTCAGTATTTTTCACCTGAAGATTACTTGATTAGTCTAAGATACATGCTGTGATGCTTCAGGGCCTGAAAGTTGGGTGCCACTGTGGAAGGAATACTGTCCTGTTTTTATAAAATGCCAACTACAGCTCAGCGTGTTACGATGAGAGCCTTTGTTTCAAAGAACATATTTAAAATATGAAAGACACTTTAAAACCAACAGTTGCTTTTCTTTCTGATTAACTGTTTCTCACAGTACTTTGGATTGCTTTAAGTTGTCAGTATGTCCAAATGAAATCATCTCTCTTTGTTTGTGCTCATGCAGCTCAAAGTTGTTCAGGCAGTGAACTGAACTAATGAGAGAGCTGATCTGTATTTAAAATCAAACACTTGTAACCTGTATCAGTTCTCCACCCTGGTTTGCTCTGTGCAAATGGAGGGCACACTGCTGGGCTGGAAAGAGCTTTTAGAGTTGAGCAGGAATGGTTTCAGCTGTTGGCAGTAGCAGTCCAACCTGACTTAAATGATTATCTTTCTTTCACTCTGCCTACCTGAGAGAGTGAATTTTGGGCTTAACCTTAGGAGAACAAAATCTGGATTGTCTAATCACTTATTCTTCATCAATAACATAATGATGGAGGCTGGGTGACCAGTCTTGCCCTTCAGTGCAACTTCTTTTCCCCTGTGGAACAGTGATGTTGTAATACAATCACAATGACATAGTCATTCTTTTTTCTTTTGATTTCAAGGCTATACTCCAGTGGCTGAAAGTCAAAAGTTAAGACCTGGGCATTCTGCAGGCTTAACAACTTTACACCAATTGCCATCTTCTGAGTATCAAAATACTTTTGAAGACAGAACTTATGCTTCGGTTGTTTCTCCCCATACACAAGACAGCGACTTTTTGCAAAAGTTAAACAACAAGGAATGCAGCTCATCTTTGAAGAACAGCCTTTCAGGAGTGCCAGCCTGTGAGAAACAAGGTCTGGATGTGCCTCTGAAAATGCAGGGTTGTTTGAAAAATGAGGAAGACCAATACGTTACTGGTGAGTAATTTATAGAAAGATAAAATGATGTGTGGTGGGGTTTTCTTATCCCCTTGTAGTTACTGAGTGTAACATTCTACTAATTGTGAAGATATTATACAGGTGTTGGTTTACTGGATTTGTTGGTTGGTTTACTGGATTTGTTGGTTGGTTTACTGACAGTTTTCAGACTTCGGAGTGTTCCTGTTGAAGCCCACATGAGTTTTGTTAAAAGCTGCTTGAGACAAAAATCAGGTTCTTCTGTTTGTATGAAATGCTTGTCTATTTTAGGAAAAAAAAAAAAATCATTACTGCTAAAGCATATATATGATAAAGACTGGGAAAATAGCAAATAGTGACAGATTTTGGATAGCTGAATTGTTTGGACTGAACTGTACCCATGTTTTCATGTGGCAAATGGAAAATAACAGTCTATCCAGGGGTACAGAATGTCTTCAGACCAGCTCTGTTGTAAAGATTAGTAACTGAACTGGAGTTAGGAATCCAGATGGGTTGACGAGGTCACACCACACGTCTAAAAATTATTTGTAGATCAGAAGCAATAGACTGGTTTTTTTTTTATCTTTCCTCCTCTTGGTTTTACCATTGGCACCAGCATGGCTGCTTAGCTGCTATGACTGGAATAGTGGTTTTGGTATGAATCTAGCAATTTAATCAAGTTAAACCTCACTAACCTGTAGAGGTTTTGAGGAAAAGATATTACATTTCACCATGCTTTATACCAGCTTTAATACTTTTAATCAGAGGGCTTGGTCTAAGAGGATGTGAAAGGATAAACATATCTTAATTTAACAAGCTTCTGTTTCCCATGTATATATTATAAGGGAGCTCTTCCATACAGCAGCCATCCAAATTTGTTCAGTTATTTTTGAGCCATAAATTAACAATTGCAAAGAAGACGAACAATTGGAATCTGTGAAAAATTGTTAATGCATAATTTGCTTTACTTTAAAAAGAAAGCTGAAATTGAAATAAGAATTAGTTTGGAGAAATTTAATCCAGCCTACATTACCATGAAGCTCCTTTCTGGTTTTAATCTGACATGGAGGCCACTTAGATGTAAGCTGAAAATTGATTTGTTGTTGGGGAGGGAAAAAAAACCCTTCTGTTAATTTCATAGGAAAAACCATGTGGTGTCCAGAGCGACAGATGGAAATGATAATGGAGAGTGAAGATGATCACGTTGATCCTTTATGTGTGGAAAGTGCAGATCTTGCTGAAAATTTTAGCAGAGGAAAACATTCATGGACTAATTCAGAGGAAAGGTAACTCAGACTGTTATTATGCAGCTTTTGACAAATAACACAGTTTAGCTGAATTCTGCTCCCTGACTGAAAGAGTCTGATATTCTCAATTTGTGTGGCTTTCTCAACCAAGGATTCCGTTTTGTTAGGTACTATGGAGACCTGTAGTAAGAGACACTGTGGCTTGAAATTGCATATGCTGTGAAAGGTGAGATATTGTCTTTTGGCTGAAGAGGTGTGTGTAACCTGGGGTAAGGATAGTTTAGAAAAACATTTTAATATAGCTTAGTATAGAAGCAGTAATTATTACTGTTCCTAATTTGATTTGTTACAACCTCCTATCCACTGTTATGTGGTGAAAGCAGTACTGTGAAGGATAAGGGTGAGATTCTGAGTTTTTAGTGTAAACAAACATAACTCTGGGTAATGAAGGTCTGTAAATGGCTAAGAAGTAATAATAGTGCTTGTGGCAGAAGCCTTCTCATGTTTGGTAAAATCATGTTTACGGAGTTGACAGAGTGAATATAGTGGTTGGCATTGTTTTTAAAGTTCTGCCTTGTCTGCTGGGCCATCACAAAACGAAGAAATACTTGTTCCGTGCTGTGGTGGGTTGAGCCCAGCCAGCAACTAAGCACTTACCCAGCTGCTTGCTTGCTCTGTCCCCCAGAGCAGAGTGGGAGAGGGTGTCAGAGGACCAAACTCTGAACACTTGTGGGTTGAGATAAAAACAAGTTTAAGTGAAGGAAAGAGGAGATACCCCAAATAGTGTGAAGGCCATCACATGCCACCTCCCACAAACAGACCAATGCCCACTAAGTCTCTGAGCAACAGGTACTTTTGGAAGACCAAGCCCCAGGTTTTACTGCTGATCGTGCTGTTCTGTGGCAAGGAATGTTCCTTTGGTCAGTTCAGGTCAGCTGTACTGGCTGTGTCCCCTCTCAGGGTCTTGTTCACTCTCAGCCTGCTTGCTGGGGCAGGGAGCAGCAGGAGAAAACAAAGCAAACCTTCATGCTGTGCGAGCAGTGGTCGGTAACAGCTAAAACATGGGTGGGTTACCAGCGCTGCTGTACCCGCAAATCCGAGGCGTGGCACCGGGAGGGCTGCTGTGAAGGGAGCTGGCTCCACCCCAGCCAGGCCCAGAGTGCCTGCGAGGGAGCTGCAGTATCAAAGGGGCAGATGAGGAACAGGATCTCAGTAGCACTCCTGAGTGGGAAGGTGATGCTCTAGAAGTTTGCAGCATGACTAAAATAGGAGTGAAAGCTTGGTGCCCTGAGCAGAAGAAAGGGTCGCAGAGGAAAATCAGTAGAAGAAGAAACAGTAAACCCTGCATGCAGTGTCTTTTAACTATAGCAAGGATTTGATAAACCATTTCTCAAAAGATAAACAACTTGTATTTTAATGCACATCTCAGATTAACACTGAATGACCAAAGTACCTCATAATTTGTCATCTTTTATGTAATTACACCTTAGGTCTTTAAATAGTAGTGATGCTAAACATCTAGAAATACAAGACTTGTGTTTGTGTGGTTTTTTTTTTTTTTAATTTTATTTTTTTAATTACACCAGACCTATTAAAGCTGCAATTCAGGAGAAGAAACAGACATTTGAAGAATTCCTGGAAGAACAGATACAACTAGAAGAGCAGCGCCTGGAGCAAAACCAGAAGTTACAGGTTATTTATTTTAAATTTTTCTTCTTTATCTATTGTACCAAGATGGAATAAGTGCTTTAAAAATGTACAAGGAAGATTCACGTGTTAAAAGCTAACACCTAGTGCAGTATTCACAGTCTTAAAAAGAAAATAGTAAGCCCCAAATATTTAACTTAAGATGTCTTTAAAAATCCAGTAGAAATGTACTGTACAAATTCTTACTCACCTGTGGGGTTTATTTGAAGACATCTTCAAACTGTGTAAGGGGCTTTTTAACATTGTGCATTTTACTTTTTTTTACCCCTTTTCAGGAGACAAATGGATCAACCATTCAAAAACCAGTGATCAAACGACCCTTCCTGAAAAGAGGAGAAGGCTTAACAAGGTTCACTAACACCAAATCTAAAATGACAAAACTTGGAGAAAACACCCCGAAAGTTCAACAAAGGGCTTCAGATAACAGAAATGTTATTAAAGCAGACAGATCACAAAACCAGAAGAGAACTATGCCTCCTGGCAATGAACAGGCTTCTGAAAACACTTTTGGATCATGTGTGAAGTATAACCACCCGGGCAAAGCGAAACATGGTCCTGTTCAGAAGACTCTGGTCCTCAGGAACCACAATGGAAGAAATACCTTGCCATCAGAAACAAGAATGCAACCAGGAAAAAATCATGATGGACAGAGGAAAGATACTTTCTCATCAGAAATTAAAACCAATATAGAAAATAAAGAGAACGCAGTAGAATTTGCTAAATCTAACACTGGCAAAATCAGAAACAAATTACCTGGCACAGAAAAGCCTCAGCCATCTCGTGAGCTGGTCAGTGCCTTTTCTAATTCCAAATGTGCTGTAGATCATCCTGTAAGAGATTCAGAACTTTCTTTTGAAGTTTCATTTCAGAGTAAGCTGCAAAACTGGGAAAAAGAAAAGGAAAAAGAGAATCTTGAATTAGATGAATTTTTGTTTCTAGAACAAGCTGCAGATGAAATATCTTTCTCAAGTAATTCGTCATTTGTGCAAAGGATCTTAGATCAAGATCAGCAAACTTTGAAAGGCCGTAGAATGTCTTCTACCCCTATCAAGACAAAACAGCAACAAATAAAGGTGCTGGCTGTTGAGCTTATAAATAAGAAAAACAAAATGGAAGACTGTGTGACACAGGGAAGTGTACATGATGGAACAGTTAAGCATGCAGCCTCAAAATTAGGAACAGCTTTTAGAATGAAGGATCCACTGAATAAAATGGACAGTGAAATACTTTCAGCTTCTTCCATGAGAGCAGCTCCTGCTTTAAAAAGTAATCAATGGCTTGTAAATGAAAGTAAGGGTGAGGGCAATGGTGATACTACCACAGATTCTGAGAGTGAATTTGAGACCACATTAAAGTGTGAAAATGAAGATGCTAAGACATCTTCTGGGAGCCACAGAGAAAGCGACGATCCAGAGTTTTTTGATTATGGAGGACCTGTTACAGACTTCAGCAAAGAAAGCAAAAATGGAGATGCTGACCTTGGCTTTTCAGACACAGATTGCAGTGCACTGTCAAAGCAAAAGATTGGAAAAGCTTCAGACCATCAGAGAAGCATATCTTGTATAAGTAGGAGTAAGTTTGAGTTTGATGATGAAAGAACATGGAGTGATCTTGATGACGGTGATTTACCTGAAAAATATACTAAAATACCTTTACAGACAGACTTTCCCAGTGAGAATGATACAGCTCTCCCAGATAAAGCAATAAAGAGAAAAGTTTCCTCAAAGAGGGGAGATGATATGTTCAAGGAGCCTGCAGTGGACAGTGATTCCAGTGGACCTCCTGTATCCAACCTGATGATGAAACTGTTTCCCTCTCTGAAACCGAAGCAGCAGGCAGGCTGTCACCTGGAGCGTGAGGGCAAACCACCTGTGGAACAGGAGCCAGGAGGTGAGAGCACAGCGGGTGGTAGGAAGTGTGGAAGAAGACATTTATTACAAGTCTTACCTTCTAACACTTAAGCTGCAACCTGACATTACACTGAAGGGGTTAAGTGGAGACTTCTGCTGCAGGGAATGAATGTTGTCTTTCATCTCCTCACCTGGTATCCTGTCTGACATCAGATCCAACATTTATGCAGCCTGCAGAATGAGCATGATCAGTGAAAACTTCTCTTTTGTAATAATTTTTTTCCTGGAGAGTAGCTTTCTGTCAGAGCAGCTCATTTAACTAGCTTTGATCTGGAGCTGCTTGATCACCTTTTTCAAATCGAGGAAAGTAACAAAGGCATTTTGAAAATTAAGTGGTAGCTCCCTTTCCACTACAGTGTGCCTTTCCACCCCAGCAGGGTAATGCTGTGTGCTGTTGGGTTAGCTTGTTCCTCTTAGGAAAACAAGGAGGTGACAGCCCTGTCTGTATTCTCCTACAGTCATACAGTGTCTAGAGAATTCATGAGGGGTATGGGAAACGTGGGTTCATTTTTCTGCTTTGCCCAAGTTGATTTCAACCATATGGTTATAGCCTGGGGGAGGACTGTCCCTGAAAGCTTCTGTTGAGGCCGTTGTGTTTGTGTGAGGTCATTAATGCAGTTGTTGAGTGAAGGCATGATGGCATAGCCTAGGGCATTTGAACCTTCTCTGTAAGGTGGTGAGATCTTGATTTCAAACTCTGCTCCAATTAATGTTTAGTATTTTCTTCAGTTTTTAGGAGTTCATATGAAGGCTGCTACTTTGGATGCTTGTTTTGTAGAGAATTGATTTTGTAGGGTTGTCTAAAGATGCCTGCTAGATATTTGCAGGAAGAGAGGGGTAGGTTTTTTTTACTCAATCTCAGAGCATTTAAGGTTGAATGAGGCAACTACCACCCTGTAGCATCAGTATTTAGGCTCTTCTGTTGCATGCTCAGAAGCAGACTCTTAAAACCTTGGGAAATTTAAGCCGTGACTGAACAGGAAACTGGGATGGAATAAGAGCCCATAAATCTATTATTTGTCTCTGTAAAAGCTCTCACATTGGTGATGGGTGTGAGCAGACTTTGTTGTGAGTAAAACTTGGAGAAACTTAAAACCGTAAGCTTTCCTGTTTGATGCTTGGCCTTTGTACCTTCATTTAATTTCCCTCCCTTGATGTAAAGCCCTTCACATTCCAATTCCTAATATATATCTAGTTCTACAAACAAGGTACTCAATATTTGAGGTATTTGAGTGAATAATGCTTTAAAATGTCACTTCTGTTTTATTTGAATAGTAGAAATTTTTCGCACTACTATGACTATCTCCAAAATAGTTTCCCTTGGTTTATTTTTTAAAATATTTTTTTAAACTGGTGTGTGATAATAGTTTACTTCAGTCTTATGGCTGCCACTGAAACAGCTTGGCCCTGGCTGCTCTTTGCCAGGAAACACTGCTCCATCCCAGGTACTGAGAGAGAGACTGGCTGAACTGGAAGCTGAAATAGAGAGATTCAGAGCTGAAAACACGACTCTGACTAAACTCCGTGAAGAAAGAGAGCGTGCCCTGGCGAGTGTCAGGTAATTTTTAATGGAAACATTTTGGGGCACTCACTTACATACTATGTTCTGGACTATCATAATGTCCAGTTGCCAACAGCACAGGTAACTAATTGCTGTGTTTCAGTTGCAGTGGAGACAGAGGGCAAGAAACTGGTTGCTGCTCTGTGTATATATTAAACTGTAATCGTTACTCACATTATAATATTAAGAACCCCTGGTAGTTTAATGTGATATCCTTAAAGGCTATACTTTGGAGGATTTGTATACTTTTATTCTGAATGACAATGCAGTCCTAAACTGGTCTGTGCAGAACTGATCTTCACCCTAACAGGGCTGATGCCCTTCCTTTGGATTGGAAGTTTCTGTGTACAAACTGAGAGTATTTTCATTTGAACTGGGCACTTATAAGTGACACGTAGAGCAGAATAATTATCTCTAGAAACTTAAGTGTGGCACACCTATTCCTACTAAAGCCATTTTTGGTTTATATGGAAGCAGCATAGTGTTGCTGGCTAATGTTTAATTTGTGACCTCCTGCTGTTAGCAGATTCTTTTCCTGGCTCTTTTGGGGGAATGGTGTTCTACTGCTTTCAAGAATGCTGGAGGATTTTAGCCAAATCTTTGTTAAATTCAGGATATCTTTCGTTACTAGAAGATACAAAAATAGTAATTGTTGGACTTCAAACATTAACTGTGTGACAATTCTTGCTCCTTAAAAAAGTAAAACCATTTATAGGTTAATCTTCCTGGGGATAACAGATGCTGGATTGGAATCAGTGACCACAAAATTCAGAGTCATCATTTTCGTCCTTAAAATCCAGATTTGCAGTAGTTTTGAAATAAAATAACTCTTTTTTCATAATTATAGGAAAGAAATTGCAGACTTTCAACAGCAGAAAGCCCAAGAACTGGCTGAAATAGAAGAATATAAAAAAAAGGAAATGAAAAAACTGCAGAAGGAACGTAAAGTTTTTGAAAAATATACCGCAGAAGCTAGAGCAATTCCAGATAAAAAAGAACGTGATGAAATTCAGGTATAAAAATATATTATTCTAGTTCACACAGGAACACGTAAGTTCATTTAGAGGCAGTCGAGTACAGAACTCCAACTTACCTGAAAGGCTCCAAGTGGTTTCCAGATGGGAATTGTTAGCAGACATGGCCTAACTGAGGAAGGTCCTACAGTCTTAACAATGTTGTTTGGCTTTAAGGCAGAAACCCCTGATGAGCAAATCTTTTTGTCATGTTCCCTTACTGAAAACTGCCCACAACTATGGTAGAATGATCTTCAATTTTGATACAAAATTAATGTAGTTAATATCAAGTTGTAAATTTTTATTCACGGTAGTGAATCAAAATGCAAACTAGAACTGTACTTGAGTTTTATTCTGTCTGAACTGTTTTAACTTTGAAAATTGTAGATTACTACATTTACTGTATGTTTTATTATTACTTGCAGTTCTTTAGGTGTCACATTTAGGAACCAAGATCTGTTTGCTCCTTCATTGTCAAGATGTATGGTACATGAGATGTACAGACAAGTCATATTAAACATCATGTGTAGACTTCCCTCCTCCTTCCCAGCAGGTTTTTCTTACTTCAGCAGATTGAAGTGCCATTGTGAATCTGCCCAGGCAGTTTAAACGTGTGTTTTAGGTGACTGTGTCCTCCCTATTTCCCCATGCCACGATTTCTGAAGGGCCCTCTCAAGGGCAGCCTTGAAGATTTCATGCCTCTGTCTCAAGTGTGTTTGTACTGGCCAATCTGTGGTGTGTAGAAGATGCCAAGAGGGCAAGACGACCTTTCCTGTGATTGAAGTAGAGCTTATGAAGTTGATAGTTTATAGTAAATAATACCTCTCAAGGAGGAAAACAACTCCTATCTTTTACCCTCAGCCCCATTAAGCTGATTTTTTTTTTTT